TAGGAAGGGGCCAGTGGACTTGTACGTGCCCGCACACACTCATGTGAATGTGTGTGCGTGTGTGCGTGCATGTGTGTGTGTGTGCGCGCGCGCGTGTGTGCGTGCATGTGTGTGTGTGTGTGTGTGCGCGCGCGTGTGTGTGTATGGTATACTCAGCCTCAAGTAAGGATGGCTGTTCCCAGCCCCAAACTCTGTCTGGTACCCCCAGCTCTGCTCACCTCAGGGAGTTGCCCAGGACCTGGGGTAGCTGAGGGTTTGGGGGTGTTGCTGTCCAGGCGAGGGAAGCTCATGACCATCATCGCCAGGGTGACCGGCTTCCTCCCGAGTCCGTCTGTCCCTGTGGGAGGGACAGCCTAGGGTAGAGCACTGGGTGCGTCCTGGTTGGCCGCCTCCCCTGGATTCTGGGGAGCTCTCCCACCGTGAGGGTGCCCCCATGCCTGGCCTTGTGGCTGGTGGTGGGGAGGTCTTGGCCCCGGGTCCTCTCTGGTCACGTTGCCCACGGTCACTCCAAGCTGTGTGACACGCAGATGCCAGCTGTGTGACCCTCTGTCCCCCACAGCCGCACTCGCCGGGCCGCCTGCCCGACCCTCGCGGGAGAGAAGCTGCTGCCTTTGTAGGAGCCAGCGCCACCTTGGGACGGAGAAGGAAGCGCCGGAGGGAACCGGTCCCGGGGAGGAAGCCCAGGAGCGCCAGCTCGCCCCAGTCCACGCCCTCACCTGCCCCGTGGCCCCAGACGACTCCTTAGAAGAGATTTCATTTATTTGTACATCTTTTGCACTTTCCTATCAAAGACTTGAACACATTTGTCTTGATAAAAATTGGATGATGTAGGGGAGATTCTGACCTGCAGCACTCTCTCAGTCGCGGGGCTCCAGGCTCCAAGAGAAGCTTCCTGAAGCCCTGTGATTCTGCGCAGCTGGGACAAACACAGCATCTGGTCCCTGGGAGCCCTCGGTGTGCCCCGCCCCATCCATACCTGGAAGTCTAACTGCCCTGATCTGGGCTCCTGCCTGCTTGAGGTCTCCTCCCCCCCCACCCCGCCTCAACGCCCCGTGGGTCAGGTCTGGGAGCAGCTGCCCTGTCTGATGGCAAATGCTGGCTAATCCTTGAGTCTGGGCAGCCTTAGTTCCTGCAGGAATACCGGGAAGTCCGAGGCCCGTCTCATGCCTGGCCACCTCATCCCTGCCCAAGTTTGGATGGAGGGTGAGGGAGCCAGCCAGGTCCTAATCCTTCTGCTAGCTTCGTGTCAGCCTGGAGACGGCCGCCAGGCCCTGAGCTGGGAGCAGGCCAGGGTATAGAAACTCTAGCTGGGAGGAGCAGCTGGCAGGACCTGCGGGCAAGACACTGGGCCTCCAACTCTGTTCCCTGGGAGAGGTTCGAGGGACACAGAGTCTCTGGGAGGCTGAGGGGAGATCTCCATAGCTTGTGTCACAGACACTCAGGCCGTTGCCTGGCCCTTGCTAAACCCCAGGTGTTTGCATCTGTCTTGTGGCTCTTTCTCTGAACCCCTGGGGGCTGGACCCCCGAGGCTCCTCCCACTGGCATCCCTACATGCCAGTCCACCCAAATCTCCAAGGCTCCTCCCACTGGCACTCCTACATGCCAGTCCACCCAAATCTCCAAGGCATTGGGCACAGCACTGCAGGCGAGCAGCTGCAGGTGGGGAGGATTGAGAGCCCCACACTGTCTCCAGGATGCTCCGCGCGCACACGGGCCTGCCCCCTGCGGGGGGAGGGCTGCAGGCGGGGCCCCGCCATGAGTCCTCACCTCCCCCTGGCCTGTGGGATGGCCAGCCCGTGCGTGGCTGGCCCGCCTCCCCGTCCCCAGACAAGGCAGGGCTCTGCACCAAGGCTGGGCTTGGCCCCTTCCCCGCGTGCCTCCGGGAAGCCTCCCATCCCCGGTTCCCTGGGGCCAAGCCAGTCCCAGGAAGGTGGGGCACCCAAGGGGCTCTGGAGGGAGGGCTACTGCTATGGGGGGGGAGGTGCGGGGGACTGGTCGGCCAGCTTGGGAGAGGAGAAAGGGCCTTCAGAATATTTCCATGCTGGTCCCTTAGTTGCCTTTGGCCAGAGGCGGGTGGGCGGGGCCGCATCTGAGTCTTTGGTGTCTTCAGGCTGCTGTGGTGGTGTTGGCAGGGGTCTGGGGCCTTGGGCAGCAAGCCGGGTTGGAGTAGCCGCTGCATCCTCACCGTGCCGGCTGCTTTGCTTTGCTTGATGATGTGGATTTCTGTGGAGCCCCTTTGGGGCTGAGCATCTAGGAAGGCACTCAGGTGACAGCCCTGGGGTCAGGACGACCCTCTGGACCTCACCCGCAGGAAGCCTGTCTGTCTGCAGCCCTCCCGAGGCTGCACCGCCCTCCACACGCCCTGGTCTCCTGCCTCCTAGGCTTGGGACATCCTGGGTGCTGGGACTCCCTTCCCAGAGACCTCTGGGTGCTCTCCCACCCAGTCCAGGCCCACAAGAGCTTGCTGTTGGGCCTCACTCCCAGGTCTGGGGTGCCAGGCCTGTGGGTGTGCGTGGAGGGCAGGCTCCCGAGTCCTGAGGGTGGGCAGGTTTGGTAGCCGTGCGTGGCCAGGCGTGGGGGGCAGGGATGGGACTTGGGGGGGGCTCTGAGGCCGATGCTCTGTGCACCCTTGCTGGTCCGGCTGTGGCCAGCCGGTGTCCACGAGCTGGCGTGTGTGGACCACGGCCGGTGGACGGCGCTGCCCCTTTCTATTCCCAGAAGTTTACAGGTGGTGGTGCATCAGCCCAAAGTCATTGGCGGCGTCGTGTTTATGGATTTCCCTCCCTTAATTTTCAGATTTTTTTTTAAACAAAAGTATTTTTTTAGGTGCGATAACCCAGAAAAGGGCCTTGTTGGGTGTATTTGTGTGTCCTGAATTCTAGAGCGGAGCCCCAGCTGTGCCCTTCTTCCAGCCCAGGGGTGGTGGTGGCGGCAGAGAGGAGGAGGAGGAGAGGAGAGGGAGAAGGAGGAGGAGGAGAGGGGGGAAGCCACTCTGTCTGCCCTGCGTCTGAGCTGGACAGTGGAGGGAGGCGCTCAGCCCGCCCAGGCCCAGCCGCGAGGGTCTGGCTCCTCGCCCTGGCGTAGCCCCAGGCTGGTGGGGGCAGGGCATCCAGCCAGGGCCCCCGGGGTGGGCAGGGCCGTGCTTTGGACCTGGGCTCCTCTGCGGTCACCTCTTGTCCCCAGTGTTGGTCTGGGGAGCTGATGGGAACTGGCCGACATGGCGAACCCTTCCTTTGTACTCTGTGTGTATGTTTTGGTTTCTGTGTTTTAATAAACCCCGTGGGAAGGGATGGCGTCGGCGTGGTTCTTGGTGTCACGCGGGTTCTGGGAAGGGGGTGTGAGGAGAGGGGTGTCTCCCACAGCCTTGGAAGTGATAGGGTTTACCAGGAAGGAGGGAAACGCCAAACACCCAGCCCCGCCCCCTGCCACAGTGAGAACGGAGGCCACGGATCTGCAGGGGGCACAGCAAGCCCCCCAGGCCCACCCGGGTCCCTAGAGGTGTGGACAGAGGAGCTGTGTGCGGTACCCAGAGGTGGCGCCACCTGCCGGGGCCCTGGGGTAAAGCCCTGGGAGGGAGGGGGGGGGCTTCTGACCCCTTCCCCAGTGGCTGCCCAGCCCTGACCCGGAGGGAACAGACGGCACAGAGGCTGACGGGCGGGCAGGGTTTTATTGTCATTCCATAAATACGTGGCTGGGCCTCAGTCTGGGTCTCTGGAAGCTCGAGGGGTACGGTGGTCTCTGCCTGGTGGGGTGCTGTGAGCGGAGGGCAGTCGTTAAAAAAGGGGGGTGGAAGCGCGTTATGTACAGGGCCGCGCGTGCGAGCAGGGCTGCGGCCGCTGGCACCTGGGATCTGACCTGGGCCCTGGGTGAGCAGCAGGGGCCCCACGGAGCCCGGTCCCCCCCCCCCCGGCCTCATGCCGCTCCTGCTGGCCTCTGAGCTTCACGGGGGCGGAGGGAGGGTGCCTAGGGCCTGCTGTGGGAGCTCATGGAAGTCAGACCTGGGGTCCGGGGAGACGGCAGCTGGCCCTAAGCCCGTGGCTGCACCCCTGAGCGAGAGGGGCCAGCTCCCTCTTTCTAGGCTTCTGCGCTTGCTCTTCGTCCAATGGCCCGCCCAGCTCCTCCCTCGTGGGGGACCGGCCCCCAGAAGCAGAGCCCAACCTTGTAAGTGCTTCAATGCCTGGCTGCTGCCCGGGTCGGGGCGCTGCTAAGCTTGTCTGGCGCCCTGGCCCCCCTGTCTGGTGACACCCCAGCGCGTGGTGCGTGCTCCGGTCTGTCCACCTTCCAGCAGCGGACCGGGCGGGGGGCAGCAGCGCACAGAGCTGGCCATTCCCTGGCAGCAAGGCTGGGCAAGGCCCTGCATGGCCCTGCCTGGCAGCAGACATTTCTAGCCCGTGTGTGTGGGGGGCAGGGCCCCTCCCCACATCCACAGGGCGGCGCCTGCCGAGGCCCGGGCTATGGCAGGGGTCAGCTGGAAGATGGTGGGAGAGGGCGTGCTGAGGCCGGGCCCTCCCCTCTCCCTGCCCATCCGCCCAGCTGGGAAGACGGTGGTGCCCTTGGAGAAGCCCCTGCTGGGCCTGGGCGGGAGGAGGTGCGCAGGCGCTGGCCCTGCTTGCCCTGAGCATGAGGCTGGCGTGGGTGTGGCAGGACAGGATCGAGAAAGCTCTGCCCCACAACGGAGGACTCCAGGCAGCCTCCTCCCGCCCCCAACCTGTGGGCGCCCGGCACGTGGAGCCTCCACCCAGGAAGGAGCTACGAGTGGCCGCCCTGCCCGCTCTTCAACGCTGCTTTGTACAAGTGGCCCAGCCGCGGCCTCCTGTGGACTGAGCGGTCACCCCATGGCCCAGCCACAGCCCAGCAGGGGTCCGGCACTTCTGGACTGAACACCCAGGGCCTTCTGGAGCAAGGAACCCCCTCCTCCACGGACCCCCCACGGACCCCTCCTCCACGGACCCCTCCTCCACGGACCCCTCCTCCACGGACCCCTCCTCCACGGACCCCCTCCCAAGTGCTCCAGGCACCTGCTCTGCCACACCACTTGCTTGTGGAATTCGGGTGGAATGACGCTGGAAATCGGACCCTGCCTCAACCTTTTTTTGTGGCTCCCAAACAAGAGAACTGACCCCCTGGCCCTGCCCCTGCCAGCAAGGGCAGGGGTGGCCCCGTCCTCTGCCCCAGGGGGCAGGGCTGGGTGGGGAAGGGGGGTGGGAGGGATCTGAAGCTGAACCCCACATGAAGCACCCTGGTGCCCATCGAGAGGGAACCCTGTCCTAACCACCAGGACCCTGGCGGAGGAGGCCCGGGAGGAGGCCAGTCCTGCCTGCCCCGAGGACACAGCCAGGCCTCAGTTGGCCTCCACTTGGGGAGCCTCCCTGAAGGGCCCCGGCTGGAGGAGCGCGGCGTCTCTGGGGGATGCGCAGAGGTGCCAGGCTTGGACGTGGCCGAGCGAATGTCCTTCCTAACCCATGCCATCTCCCCGGCACCATGTGACCTTGTCCAGCGAAGCGGCGGGCAGCGTCTGGCGGCAACGTAGAGGTCATCTCCTGGTGACGCCGGGCGTGGTGTCTTCCCTTGGATGCAAACCACACTGCACTTGGCTTCGAGACAGCGTAAGCGAGCGGACAGAGACGAGGGGGGACTGGAAACTGTCCGAGCAGGTGGCAGGGGGAGCTTAGGATCTGTAGTCCTTTTTGCTGTAGGGTTTGTTACCCAGAATGCTATCGATCTCGTGAACAATGGAAGACGACAGTTTCGGAAGAACCTGGAAGGACAAGAATGACTTGGCACTGTGCCCACAGGTCCGGCCGTGGCCTCGGCCCCGAGCCCTGGGTCTGGCTGGGCTGTGCAGACCACGCTGGGGCCGAGACTCCAGATCCCCGGGCTCACCTGTATGGCGCCGATGTTCTCCATGAGCTGCTCCGCGTTGGAAGCACCCAGAAGCACGGAGCTAACGCCTTCGTTCCGCAGGCACCAGGCTGTGGGCCAGAGCCGAGGGTGAGGGGGCTGCCTTCCGGCTGTGCCCTGCCCCCCGTCTGGGCACAGGTGCTCAGCCTCCTTCTTGTGTGTGTGTGTGTGTGTGTGTGTGTGGTGCCCAGAAATATTGGTGAGGCTTTGCCCAGGGGTTGGCTAGAGGAGGGGCGGGGTAGCCCTGCAGCTGCTGGCCGGCGCAGGGAGGGGCCCTGGCTCTCTAGGACCTCTGTTCCCTCCCCAGGAACATGGGTGCCGTCCTGCCCCTCAGATCCTGGCTGCCTGTGGCTGGCGAGGGGTGCTGTCCAGGGCACCCCCCGGCAGTGCAGCTCCAGCCCCTTGTTTTCGGAGACCCCGCCATCTCCCCAGGGTCGCCAGCCCGCCTCCGGCCCGAGCGCGGTACCTATGGCCAGCTGGGGGAGGGTGCAGCCCAGGCGCTCGGCGATCGCCTGCAGCTCTTTCAACTTGGCTTGCTGGCGCCGTCCCTCTTCGCTTAGGATTTTGTCCTTCAGCCACTGGTAGCCCTGGGAGAGGACACAGACCCAGCATGGGGGTCACCTGCATCTCCACGTGCAGATGGCCCCGCACCTCCCCACAGAGCCTCCGCCAGGCAGCCGCGTCCACCGCCCCTGCTGGGGGCCTCGTCCAGAGGCTGAGGACCAGACGCAGGCCGGAGCGCATCCGCGTCCTTGAAGGACAGGCTGCAGGAGGCTGGAAGCAGGGTGCCCCGAGGCGGAGCTGCCATCTTGGCCCACAGGAGCTCTTCCTTGACCTTGCAGATGCCCCAGGACCACAGTCCTCCGGGGTCCCTGCCTCTGCTCCGGGCTGGGGAGAGGGTGGGCCCTGGATCGGGGTTCTGGGACTCCTGACCTCCCAGGGGGGGATCCCTCCTGATTCTCCGTGTGTGTGAGGGCGCGGGAGCCAACTGTGACCCTAGTCCTGACTCATCCCAGAGAGCTGAGAATCGATGGTGTGTGTGTGTGTGTGTGTGAATGGTTGACCCCAGTGGATTGACCGTTATGGGGGGGGGCTAAGGTTGGGAGAACTCCATGTTCTTGTACCTGGGTGGGTGGTGGATGGGACAGTCGAGATCCAGGGAACCAAGGCCATCTTCCCAGAGTGCTCCCTCCCCTATGTCAGTGCTCCCCGCCCCCACCCCCCACCCGTGCTCCCTCCCCTCTGCCAAGTGCTCACCTTCAGGGAGGCTCTGGAGTAGGGCGGGATGCCACTGTCGTACTTCCCGGAGACGATGCCACAAGCCAGAGGGGACCAGGTCATGGCGCCCACGCCTGGAGGAGAGAAGCCAGGTGAGGCGGGGCCGGGCGCGTGGGCGCGGGTGGGGGAGGGACACCCACCTATCTTGTGGAAGAGCTCCGGCAGCTGCACCTCCACCTTCTCGCGTTGGAACATGTGGTACTCGGCCTGCTCACAGATGGGCGGGATCAGGTTGAACTGCCGGGCCACCGAGTATGCCTCCTGTAGGCAGAGGTGCCGATGGCTCACGTCAGTCTGGGGCCCAGGAGCCCGGGGAGAGGACGCAGAGGCATCCCTGGGAAGCCCCCTCCCCGCCCTGGGAGGCAGCGCTCTTGGAAGAGCAGGGAGCGGGCTGGCTCGGGGGCTGGCACCTGCGCTGTCTCGGGCAGGGCCCCTGCTCTGGGCCCTGGACCCAGCCACAGCAGTCTCTTTCCACGCTGGGAGCGCAGGGCCTTAGCTTGTAGCTTCCTTCTGCTCCCGCCCTGGGGTGAGCCCAGGCCCAGGCCCTGTCCCCCTCTGATCTGAGACTTAGCATCTGGGAAGTGTGTGTGTGTGTGGGGGGGGGGGTCGTGGTACTGATGCTCTGCAGAGCCCAGTGCTGGCTGCCGGCAGACCAGGACATGCCAAACTCCCGCTGCCCTACACCAGCGCCCAAGGCCCACTTTTCCAGGGGCTTCTGAAGACCGTTTCATTTCTGGATGGGAGGTTGAGGGAGATGCAGCACAATGCCTCCCTCCTCCCGCTGCACACCTGGAGGTGACTTCTTTCTCTCCGGGCCTCTCCCCTGCACAGCTCAGAACGGGGCGCACCCTGACCCTTCCTGAGGACCCCGTTGGTCCTCAGCCTGGAGCATCTCCACGGAGGAAATGATCAGTAGTGAGGCTGAGAGCCGCATGGCCCGAGCTGTGTGACCCTGAGCATGCTCCCTGGCCTCTACCTCACACGGCCGTGGGGGTTAAAGGGAAGCCAGTTCCCAGGGAGTGGGGAGTCCATCCCCACCTGTGGGACCCTGGTGGAGGGCATCACAGGTGTTTTCTCAGAGAAGCCTCAGGGCAGGCCATGCTAGGTGGGGAAACTGAGGCTCAGAGAGGCAAAGCTCCTGTCCAGGGCCACGATTCACCAGAGATCTGTGTCTGCAAGGCCTGTGAGCGTGACTGCCCCCCTCCCACGGTGCGGTCCCACTCCCGGCCCCAGCTCCCCTCCCCCGCCCCACTCGCGTGCAGCCCATGCGGGGTCACCGTACCATGATCTCCATGGAGCTCCAGCGGGACGTGCCCCAGTACATGGCCATGCCCTGGTTGATGACATGCGTCATGGCCCGCACGGTCTCTGTGTGAGAGAAGGGAGGTGTGGGTGGGGCGGGCCGGGCGTCAGGCCCGACCCGGGGACGTTCTGCGAATGCAGGCAGGGTGCTGGGAGGAGGGAGAGGCTGCGGAGTTGTCTTGCAAGCAGTGTGCTTCCTGGCTCGAGCTGCTGGGCTGGGATGGCAGCAGGGAGGAGGGGAAGGAACTCCTACTCCAAGAAGCGGGTCCCCAACACAGCCGCCCGCCCGGCTGCTTCCCAGCCTGACGGGAACTCGGTGGCCGGGTGCCTCCCTGGAGGGCGGAAGGTGAGATCTAGGCTCTAGGACGGGGGGGGGGGGGGGGGGGGGGGGGGGGGGGGGGGGGGGGGGGGGGGGGGGAGGGGTGGTGGAGGGCGTCTACCCGGGGGGGGGGAACTGGGGACCCTGTTCATTCCAGACGGGCTGTGAACACATGACGGTTTTCCCCCCGCTGTGCGGCTTCTCCACAATCCCACTGGAATCGGGAGGCCTCCGCGGGCCAGACCGTGGCACCTGTCAGGCCCTACGTGGCCCCAGAGGGCAGGGCTGGGGCAGCTCTCCCAGTGCGGGAAGAAGACAGGAAGCCTCGCGGGCCCTGCCGGCCCAGGCCAGTGTCCCCCCAGGGCGGGCGGGGCCCAGAGCCCGGCGGGCCGGCTCTTCCCTGAGAAGGGCTGAGGCTGGGTGCAGACAGTGTGAGGCTCCAGGAGCTCTGGATATAACTAGAACTCTGTGGAGCGGAGCCTCCCCAAGGCCTAGGGAGTGCAGCTGGATGCCGCGTCCCCCTTGTTTTAGGTAAGTGGGGGGGTGCCCATCTCTGACAGGTGACAGCTCCTTTCTAGATTCAAAAAGTTCTGTGAGCCAATGAAGCCTGCTGGGCCTAGGGGTCCTTGGCGGCTTCTGCCTCCTGGGGACATTGTGGTTTGGACAACAGAACCTGGCCTTCCATTTTCAAACTGCCAGCACCCCTCAGCTGGGCAGGGGGAGCCGGGGCTGCTCTGTGGAGTCTCCCAGGTCTCACGCTCCGTGGGGAGGAGGAACAGCGTTTCCCAACGCCAAGCGGAGACCTCCGCCTCACAACGCTCCCCTCCGCAGCAGCCCGCTCCAGACGGGAGGCTGCAGTGCCCGGAGGTGGCTGGAGGGTGGAGGCGGCAGGAAGCGAGCCACCCGCCCCCCACTCCCCCCCACCACGCAGGGCGGCCGTACTGGCTCCTGTCTTGCCTGTTTTACGGCACCCCAAAGGCTGCTTGCTGCTCAGACCACCAGGGCCGGTGGGCTGCTCCCGCAGGGCCCCAGAGCCCCTGGAAACCCGCACTCTGGCCTCCACCCCTGCAGGGCCTGCCCTCTTCCTCCACCTAGGACGTGGCTCGTGGGTCCTTCGTCCCAGCCTGGTGAGGAGCACCGTGGCGGGCAGGGAGTCGGCCTCTCAGGGACCCTCTTGGGTCCCTTTCTACGCCAGCATGTCAGCTGTGAGGAGGATGTGTCTGGTGGGGAAGGGTGACAGATCTACAGGGGCCTCGTACCCCCTCGCCCCTGTCCCCCAGTGCAGCTGGTCTCCCGCAAGGCTGCCCTTGTTTGCTTTTTAGAGACGCTCCTGTCCGGCCCACCTGGCCACGCAGCTTTAACCTTTTTTTTTTGTTGGTTGCTTTTTTTTTTTTTTTCAGCCAAGGCTTAGTCCACATGCCAGACAGAATGAAGGCAGAGGGTCCCTACTGCCAGCCCCTCCCCGGCCTCCTCCCCCGACCTCCTCCCCATAGCTCTCTGGTCATGAAGACCCCAACCAGTGAGACCACGTGATGCCCCGCGATGCCCCTTTCATGTAAGGGTGGGGAGGAGCCCACCTGTGCCAGGAGACAAGGCCGAGGGCTGAGTCTGTCTGGAGTAACTGGGCTCTGGGCACAGCTCGGGGGGGACTGGGACGAGGCCGGTGTGGGGGTGACACACACGGGAAGCCCGGAGGAGGAGGTGCTATGCATTTGCCCGTGCGTGAGGTCAGCGGCCCCAGAGATAGGGACGACCGTCCCTCACCTTAGTCTTTAATGCCGGCTGGACAGAGGCAAATCTTTCCAGCGCCTGACAAAAGCCGGGGCACCACGAGTGCATCACAAATAATACATGGGCAGCTCAGGTGGCAGCGCCAGGCGGCAGGCGGGAGCGCCGGCGGTGCGGAACGCTGCGCCGTTCCCAGGAGACCCAGGCCGGTCCTGGGGCGGGTCCGGGCCTGGCCAGCGGCCTGTCCCAGGTCTGGAATCAATCCCATCTGCTTAGGTCATCTCCAACAAGGAACGTGACTCTATTTTGACGCAGAAACCTGGTGGCAGGTGTGAGGGGGACCCAGCCACACAGCCACAGAGCTCACAAGGAGTCAGCGTGTTTTGAGTGGGGTGGGGTGGGGTAGCTGGCAGAAACAGAAGCTTGTCAAAGGTGAGCTATGGAGGAGACAAGACTTGGGGGGGGGCGGGGGCTACATGTTCTGAAGTCTTCTCGTAGAAACTCGGTCTCCCTGACCCTTCCCACGGAACCATCCAAGATCGGGGTTCCCAGGTGAGGATGGCAGCATCCTCAGACCAAGAGGAGCCTCTCCATCCTGCCCCTGCCCCCCAAAAGACAGCGGGCCAGGGCAGCTCAGCTTAGCGCAGGCACCGTGGGGCATGCGGCGGCGGCGGCGGCATGTGCGCAGGGGACAGATGGATGACAGCGTGGATGGGTGGCCAGGCCGCTCCAGAGCCGTTTTGCTTTCCCTTCACTTGCAAGATGTCCTCACGGGGCGCTCCCCCTCCCCTCGTGTGCATTTTATGGAGAGGTCTGTCATCTGGGGCCAGAGAGTCACATAAATAAGAACACTGTCTCATAAAATGCAGCTCGGATCAGAAGTCGATGGTGGGCTAAGGGTACTGTGTACCTTCTATGACGAATGTCCTGGCCTTGGAAGAACTAAATGGGTCCCCTGGTGATAAAAGAAAGATTTAGAGACCAGAGTTTACAGCTGTGGGAACACAGAGGCGCGGTATGATGCGGGGCAGGGGATGCACAAATCACTTGGTGAAGAGCACACATTCTCCTAAAACGTAAAAGAAAAAATATATATACACACACATGTGTGCATATATATATGCATATATACACACACGCACACACACATATAAACTAATGACAACAAATAACTTGAATACAACTCTCCAAGTCCCTGAAGCAGCAAAGCATAAATGAGAAGATGCTGGTGGCGGGCGGTGGGGGAGATGGGAGGGGCCTCGAGCCAGGAGTGGAGAGAATAAATAAACGCCAAAGAAACCCAAACTGCTTTGCAACGCGCCGAACGTATTTGTTTTTCCTCCTCTAGGTAACCATTTATCCCTCAGAGCAAAAGATTCCTAAACCCTCCCGGTGGAGCCAGGTTGCAGACAAGGCGACAGTTGCCTGGAGTCTTCCATACCACCATCTGGCTGTAAAACCTCCACAGCCCAGAGAGGAGGAGGCCCCACCCAGCTCTGGACACAGCCAGGTGTGGGTCAGGCGTGGATGCCCATGAGAGAGAGCTGCGACTCAGCCTGGGGCCGCCAGGGAGCTGGACCCTTCCCCCCCTGCCCCCACCCCCACCCCCGGTGACCGGCCCCTGCCCTGTGTGCCCTGTGGGTCCTGTTGCCGGCCGCCAGGGCCTCAGGTTAGACCTCTGATCAGCCTAGCTCTGTTCTTCGGGAACCCATTGGGCCCGAGAGGCTGGTGGTCGGGGAGCACCTACCTTCCATGGGGGTGTTGGGGTCTGGGCGGTTGGCAAACACCACGTCTACATACTCCAGCTGCAGGCGCTCCAGAGAAGCCTTCAGACCTGCCAGGGATGGGGGGGTTACTGCTGTTAGCACATCTGGACAGTTGTGGACCCTCCCTGTGCCCAGCTCAAGGGACGGAGACCCCCACCCCTGCATCTGGAGCTGTGACACAGTGGACGGATGGATTCCTTTGGTGAGAAGCCACCATAGGAATGAGGTATGTCCCAAAGGGAGAGAGGAGCCACAGGTCCGATGCCCTGGGACAGGACAAGCCCAGGTCCTTAGCCCATGGCTGGTGTTGGAACAGGTTATGATGCAAGGAGGGACGGCACCTGTCAGGCCCCTGCAGAGGCCCTGGCTGCGGAGCTCACCAGCCAGTCCTCCTATCTGCTCAGAACCCAAGGTAGACACGTGGGCTCAGTGGGGTGGGAGGGCCTGGGATCGAGTCCCCCCCCCCCCGCATTGTTTCATAGAGTGAATACTACCTTAATAAACTCAACTAGGAAAGCTGCCAAGGCGGTAAGAGCACAGGCTAAGCTCACATCCGGGCAGCCCCATTTGAAACCCACTCGCCGCCTGGCTGGGGTCTAAGGGAAGGATCTCATCAGAGCTCCAGGTGTCTCGGAGTCAGGGCCTCTGCTGGGCGTGGGGCGGGGCACTGGTTTTGGGGGCCCACCCCGGAGTCCCTCCTCACCTTCTATTATGTGCTTCCGGGACAAGCCCCGCTCCGTTTCCGCTCTGAAAAACAGCCCGGCATGTGAGGATGCAAGGGGTGTTAGGGAGTCTTTAGGGATCGTATTTTGTTATTTACTCATTGTGTTGGTCCTAGGGCTTAAACTCAGGGCCTGGGTGCTGTCCCTGAGCTCTTTTTGCTCCTGGCTCTACTACTTTGAGTGACAGCGCCACTTCCAGTTTTTTTTTTTTTTCCCCATAGATAATTGGGGACTTTGCTGCCTGGGCTGGCTTCCAACCATGATCCTCTGATCTCAGCCTCCTGAGTAGCTACACTGGTGCGGGCTGGGAAGAGGTTTATGATGCTGCATCAGGCCAAAAAGGTAAGTCAGCAAATATGAGGTGCAGCCCAGCTCCCCGTGGGGGCCACCACAGGCTCGGGCTGAACTCCCACGGGGCCAAGCAGAGGGCTGCACGCTGACCCCCGGGGGTGCCATCTCCCGCTTTCACCCTTCCATCTCACTTGGATTAAAAAAAAAACACATTGAAAATACAAGTGTGTGTGTGCTTACCTCTTCTCAGTTCTGGGGGCTGCTTGGTAGGCATCCTACCATCATACCTCAGTCTTGTTTTTTACAGGTTATTTTAGGGATGGAGTCTAGTGAGTGTTCTCAAACTCTGATCTACATCTCTGACTCCTGAGCAGCTAGTATTATAGGCATGAACTATCTTTGGTTATTATCCATGCAGGGTTCTGATAGATGACTGGGTAGAAAGGCTCTGGGTTTGAACTCAAGGACTTGTACTTTCTAGGCAGGCATTCTATTTGGGCCACAACCCAGTCCTTTTTGCCCTGGCTGGGATAGACTGTGACCCTCCTATTTATACTTCCTGCACACATCAATTACTAAGCCCAGATGTTTATTGGTTGAGATGGGGGTAGGGGGGGGTCTTGTCAATTTTTTGTGACCCTCTTGATCTCCTCTTCCTAAGTAGCTAGGATTACAAATCTGAGGTGCCACACGCAGCCATATGTGTAATAAATTTATGTGACAGAGCCTGCCCAGCTTCAGCGGCAACAAAGAGCCCGATACTAGATGGGGTGACATCCCAGGGATGGGGGGGTAGTTTGGATAGCTCACTAACTTCCTGTTTTCCAGAAGTTTTAGGATGTTACCCTTGTAATCAGGGGGAAAAAAACATGGGAGGAAAAATAAAAATCAAGTGAGGCTTGAATATGAGACAAGCCAGCCGCAGCCTGGGGTCTGACAGCCCACCCTCCTGCAACATCCTCCCACCAGAGAACCCACCAACCACCGGTGGCAACAGCACCTACTTTCCACCCCAGAAGATCTTGGTGGTGATGACGAGGCTGGACCGTCTGTGGGATAGAAAAAAAAGAAGGCATTGGACACGGTCCCTGGGTACTCCCTCAGCTCACAGCACACAGCCCCTCCCCGAGCTGGGAGCCGGGGTGTGGATGGCGGGGGGGGGTGGGGGGGGTTGGGGTAGGGGGGTAGGGGTGGATTTCTGCAACACACGCCATGTCTGGAGTCCTGGTACTCCCTCACCATGCAGCCAGCCCCAACTGCAGGCCAGCACAGGGCTGGACAGCAGAGCCTGAATCTTTTCCCCCCTCTGTGCTGGGGACATCGGGCTGTGGCTTTGGTCAGGACCCCAGGAGAGCAAGAGCCAAGGTCCCTTCCAGTGGAAGAATGTAACAGTCCTGTGTGTGACAGTTACCTCCGGTCTCCCTGGGGACCACCAAGGCAGGCGGCTGCTCCCGCCGCACGCACCCAGCGCGATCTGGGGCCAGAAGCATCAGCGGCTGCCCAGCGCCCACCCCAGGCCAGAGGGACGCTGACCCAGCAGGCTGCTGGACTGGCTAATCTGTGCAGCTTGAATTTGAAAGCAAAGAGGACCTCATTGGGGATCCTTGAGGGCTGAGAACAAACAACCTGATGGGGTGCATGAGAGAAAGGGTGTCCAGAGCCCATGCCAGGTGGGGTGGGAGCTGCCTGCAAACCAAGTGAGATTCAGAGTGGCAAGTGGCGGGGGGAGGGGGGAGGCAGGGAGGCAGGGAGGAGAGCAAGCGTGGAGCGGGGCTCGGCCATCCATGGGAGCAGGGGCCTCTGCTGAGAAGGGACCTCAGGCCCCAACAGCCTCCATCACCTTCCTGGAGGCAGCCCTGAGGGATGGGGGCCGGGGCACTAGGCTGAAGTACTCCTAGTTCTTAGGGGACCAGGACTGTCCAGCCAGCCTGGGAAGGTAAGGACCAAGTCCAGACAGCCTGCACAGAGGGTCTGAAAATGCTCCACTCACAGGTGGGGCCCGTGAGCCCCTCCTCCGGGCTCTTCTCTTTGGCACCCAGGTTCCTCTGATCCTAAGTGCTCTACACAAGAGGCCTTTGTACGTGGCCTTCCACAGTGGGTGCCTGCTGCTGGCCCTGGCCACTGCGGGAGCCCTTTGGCTAGAGACTGCACGTGAACGCCAGGCCTCTGCTTCCCTGAGGAGCGGGGTCAATAGGAGGCGCAGTGCGGCCGGTGCTCCGGTCTCCATGCTCCTGCTCTCTAGCAGAGCCGCCTCTACCATGCGGAGAGCTGGACTTTACACCCACAGGGGACTTGAAGACCCTTAGTCCTAGCTCCTTGAAGGGAAGCCCCCTGTGGTGTGGACACTGGATTCCCTTGAAGAAGCTACTTTCATTCTGGAACAGTCTCTCCATTGATTGATTGATTGCACTGGTACTGGGGCTTAAACTCAGGGCCTAGGCACTGTCCCTTAGCTTTTTTTGTTCGAGGCTGGTGCTCTACCACTTGAGCCATAGCTCTACATCTGGTTTTTGGGTGGTTTACTGAAGATAAAAGTCACAAGGACTTTCCTTCCCCAGGCTGGTTTTGAACCTTGATCTTCAGATCTCAGTTTCCTCCATAGCCTGGATGACAGGTGTGAGTCACTGGCACTCAGCTAAAGTCTCCCCTTTCAGCAAGGACTTCCAGGCCTTGGCCAGGGCCTGACAAGGTGACCCCTGGATGTTCCATTTGTAACCAACCAGCAAAGAGCAACCTCCAAGCCCTCATTCTTCCCAACCCAGCGCCATCCAAGCCCAGGCTAGCGCCAGGCAGCCTGCTCACCCCAGCCAGGAATCCCAGAATGCAACTGCTGCCCTGTGCCACCTCCGACCCTGCCTTCCCTGTGTGTATGCTCTGGGGACAGACTGCAGAGAGAACCGAGTAATTACCTCCATCCCTTCTTCTTAATGATGTTTCCTAATACCACTTCAGCCCTGCAAAGCAAGAGCAAGACATGGGGATTGCATCATGGCACGGCTGAGAGAAATCAAGCCCAGCCCCACAGTGACAACCCTCTGTAAACTAAATGTCACTGGCGCTGGCAGTGTGGCCCCCGCCTGGCAGCTCGTTCTGGAGGGGGCGTGGCCTGGGGCTGCCCCAGGCTGGTAGGGGGAAGTTCTGCTATTCTGCTATTCCCCTGAGGAGCCTGTGGGCCTCTGTAGGTTCCTGGAGCAGCAGCCACAGCTCTGTGGAGAAAGGGAAGGCCCACGGCCACGCATCTGCCCGCTTCCTTGGCCTGCTGGAGATTCACTGAGAGAAATGCCTGGCAATGCTTCACAGGCCAGATCTCCACACGCACCTGTTTGTAAAAGGCATCCTCTGTGTTCAGACAACCAACACCGGCCCAAAGGTGGGACTTCCCGGAGCACGGCATGCGTGTCTGCACGTATGCACACGGGCATGCGCGCTGGCACGTGTCCTTCTTGTTTCTCGATTTGGAACACAGAGAGATGCCAGGCTGCCCGCTCTTTGTTCTGCTTTGATGCCACTCCGGGTTTTGCGTCAAAGCTCGGGCCAGCTGGGGTCACGAGCAGGCTGTTCCAGCCTCGCTTGGCACCGCAGTGCTGGATTAACTTTTAAGAACTTTCTGTGTGTAGCAAAATGTTTCTGAGCAAAAACAACAGACGGGAATGAGCCATCCCCGTGCTACATTCCAATTATAAAAGCGCTTGAGTCATCCGCTCAGAAATAATGGGCTCTAATTTGCAAGCTGTTTAGCATGCATTCTGAATGCGCCTAAGTTATGGTCAGGATGCATGGGAAATTCACCCAGCCCTGGCCTCTTCCTTTCGTTCTGAGGTCCCTGACCACGGGTCTGGAGAGGAGGGAGGTGGGGTGGGGCTGCAGTGACTGAAGACCTCGGTCTGGCCCAAGCCTGTTGCTGGTTATCCTGGCTGCAGACTGCGAATGTGGAAGGCTCACAAGTCACCAGAAATCCTGCAGTCCTCTGGAAAATGCCCAAATGAGTGTCAGCGCGAGAAGCATGATGTGTACCTGGCCAGCTCAGTCAGCAAAAGGGCTGGTGCTGGCCGACTGCCTACCCCAAGGGCACTCTGAGTAGACATTGCTCTCTCAGGCCTTGTCTCCTAGCCACGGGCTCCTCAGAGGCCCTGGCCCAGGACCCAGTGTGCTTGCTCTGCATGCCAGTCCTATGCGTCCAGGGGAGGGCAGGGGGCGTGGGGAGGGTCATGCAGGCCGCTGAGCAGTGGAGGGGTGCGGGACCTGTGTGCACAGGGCTGGGTCTTCTGAAGCTGCTTGCTAGGTGCACTCGTGGGCAGAGCCCAGACAGGAGCTGGGCTAGCGAGGAGGCCCAGGGAGGGAGGGGCCTCTGTGCTGGCATCTGGGCTGCTTTGACCTCAGACTCTTCAGCTCAGTGAATCTGTCTGGAAAGCGTTTCCTCTTGATTGGAAACCGCTGTTAGTTTGGAAAGAGTAGGAGGGGACTGTGGCACTGAAGAGATGGAAAGGCTGCGGATGGGGATTGGAGAAGGTTTAGGGGGACGGGGGGCGGCGGGGGGCGGCTCCCCACTGTCAGCCCCCTACTCCAGGGCTGGGACTTGGGCAGGGGCTCAGCTGGGTTCCCTGATGCTGGGTGCTGAGACCCGCTGCAGGCCGCAGGTCACAGCTCAAGCTTCATGAGACAGGCGGCAGGCCCCACGGCCAGGGTCCCCAGCAATCCAGAGCTGCAGCCAGCCCAGCCACGGGCTGGAGCGGGGCGGGGCAGAAAGAGGACGGAGAGAGAGCCCGCAAATGAGTCCACAGACAAAAGCTGAGTTTTGGAAATAAGAAGCAGGAGAGTGGATGATTTGATTCCAGCCAGTCTTTAAAATTGAAGCCAAGCGGCCTGGCTGGAGAGAGCGGAGTTTGGACATCATTGAGTAGGAAAAGCTCACTGCCAAGATGGGAGGTGCTTCCTTCAGCTCGAGGCCAGGCCTCGCTCCAGCGCTAAGATTAAGCCACATTCCCTGCAGTTCTAACTGCATCATTAAGACATGGAAATGTCAGGTGCGTGTGAGCGTGCGTGCGCGCGCATGGGCAGAGCTTACTGCAGGTCGCCACACGCCAGACCACAGCTTAACCACAGCTCAGGCCCGGCGCACTGTCTTTCGCACCAGAAGGACTGTGGTCACTTCGGTGCTAGGGCGCTCGGGGAGCAATTCTCGGCTCATAAAAATGCCTCTTGAGGCCATTTACGGTTTAAGCAAGGAGGCAGAGTGGAAGGCAAGGTTGGGATACTCTGGGGAGCAAGAATTCCAGATACCAGCCGGGCGCTGGTGGCTCACGCCTGTAATCCTAGCTACTCAGGAGGCTGAGATCTGAGGATCCTGGTTCAAAGCCAGCCCGGGCAGGAGAGACCGTGAGACTCCTATCTCCAATAAACCACCAGAAAACTGGAAGTGGCGCTGTAGCTCAAGTGGTAGAGCGCTCGCCTTGAGCTGAGGAGCTGAGGGACAGCGCCCAGGCCCAGAGTTCAAGCCCCACGGCCGACAAAAAAAAAAAAGAATTCCAGATACCAGAGTTCAGGCTCTTCCCAGGTATGCTGTACCTCCTTTCCTGTGTGTGTGTGTGTGTGCGCGCGCGCGCGCGCGTGCGTGCGTGCATGTATCTGTGAGTATGCGTGGGGAGGGGGGAGAGGGAAACACCTACTTGCCAGCTGCGTAGACTTCGGCTGTGTCAAACAGGTTGATGCCATTGTCGTAGGCCAGGGTCATGAGCTGCTCTGCCATCTGAAAGGAGAAAACAGGAGTGACTCGTGTTCCACACTGTCTGCCAGCCCAGCCGGTGCCCAGGCCTGCACCCAGGCCTGGCTGGCTCCTCTCCCTCCCTCCCCCTGACCTGTGGGCCGCGAAGGCAAACTCTCAGAACCATCCTTTCAGGAGAACAAAGAAGGCAAAAGGGATGAAGACACCGCTTATGAATTTCTTCAGATCAGGGACTACCTATCTTTTTTTTGGGGGGGGGAAGGGGGCCTTGAACTCAGGGCCTGGGCGCTGTCCCTGAGCTTCTTTTGCTCAAGGCTTGCACTCTACCACTTGAGCCACAGCGCCACTTCCAGCTTTTTAGGTAGTTTATTGGAGATGAGTCGCATGGACTTTCCTACCCAGGCTGGTTTTGAACCTCAGACCTGTGCCTCCTGAGCAGAGGATTACAGGCGTGAGCCACCGGCGCTGGGCCAGTGAATGTGTTTTAAGCTCTGTTGTGTCTAGTTAAATCGCACTGACTTGTCTGTGGCAATATGAAGACTGCATTGTTACCTTCTTCAGACAGCGACACAGAAGGCTCACGGCTACCGGCCCACCCTAGCTGTCCACCAGGTCTTGCCCCTTGGGCTGAGCCTGAGCTCCACCAGCAAACTCCAACCGAGAACCAGGAACTGGGGAGCCTGCCTGCACCTGCCCAGCAGGAGTCTCCTTCCCCCCCCTCCGGCCTGGCCATGTGTCCCTCAGGATAACGCGGCTATCTGTCCGTGAGGGTCACATGGGCCCAGGCTCAGCCCAGGACGCCAGGCCTCCCCCCACCCCAGGAACCCCAGGCTTGGCTGAGTAATTCTTGTGACATGCTCTGCCCCCAGCCACTGCAGGACTCTCTACAGAGCTCAGACGCCCAGGAGCCAGGCAGACGTGAGGAACAGCGGGGGAGCCATGGGGGACCCCACAGGAGGCCCAGCACGGGCGGGTGAGTCCACCCCCACGCTGCTCAGGGGAGGGAGGTGCAGCGTTGCCAGATCCCTTAGGTTTTCAACAGATTCCAGGATCCCAGGGACCTTGTCCCTAGGGAAACGCAAACAGTTCAGAGATTGTGGGGCTCCAAGCCAAGCTGCTGGGCGGCTGAGGTTGGAGGCAGGAGCTCAGGGTGTGGGGTCTCTGGATTCACCAGCAGGGCTCTGCTGTTCCTCACTGCGTGGCTCCAGAGTATCAACAAGGCAAATGCATCATCGCTACCGCCCTTCCCCTCTGGGCTGCCTTGCACTGGCTCCGCCAGGCGCTGTTCTACACGGGAGGGATGCATCGTGCTAGCCAGGCTGAGCTGTACCCAGAGCCAGGCCCAGCCCCCGCCCTGCTACTTCAGGATCTGCTGCATTTTGGGCGGGTCCCAGGACACAGGTGCACAAAACGAAGAAGGGAGAAGTCTCAACTCCCTGGGCAGCAGCCGGCGAGCCTACCAAGACCAGAGGCTTCTATTCCAGATAATCAAAGCCAAGGCCTTCCCTGACCCTACGTCCTGACCTCCCGCCCCCATCCCAGCACCCCGCCCCGGCTTTGCCTTTGCTGGCCTGGCCTCAGGCCCGCTCTCTGCCTCTGCCTTCCCCTCTGTCCGGTACCACCCGGGAGCCTCATCCGCCCTCCTGGCTCTGCCCTCCTCTTCTGTGGGCCACTGCTTCAGGGTGCCCCAAAAGTATGGTGTCCCTGGACCCCTTGAGGGTTCGTGCAGGTTCATGCAAGGGAATTATGTGAAAAGTTATTCTCTACCTGGCACTACAAATGTCCCTGTGTGAGGAGGCAGCAGAGAGCTCACAGTCGGGAGGAGGAGATAGGGAACCATGCTGCGGAGATGGGAGCGGGTGAGGCGGCCAGCAGCTGGCAGAAGCCAGCAGGGCCCGGAATGACCGTCCAACAGGGCCCCTAGAGGAGGGGGCACAGCCCTGTGCCACCCGAGCTGGGCTCAGCTCAGCAACAATGAGCTCACATCGTGTGTGTGTGTGTGTGTGTGTGTGTGTGTGTTTTGCGTAATGGAGATTAAACTCAGTACCTCAATCTCTTATTTGGTCTATTCTGCCCAGGGCTGGCATGCTACCAACTGAGCCACACCTCCACTCCTAGCTTTTCGTTGGCTAATTGAAGATAAGTCTCATGGCTTTCCTGACTGGCTTTGAACCATGATCCTCAGATCTCAGCCTCCTGAGTAGCTTGGATTACAGGTGGGAGCCACCGGCACCCCCTTTGGCTTTGACGTCACCCAGTGAACAGTCATTTGTTAGGACACTGATATATTCCCCATAGCACTCATCCATCAGAGAGCATGCATTTCCGGCGTTCCCGCGCTTGTCTTCTGTGACAGATGGCTGCCGAAGGCAGGCACCTGTCATTCGGTGCTGCTCACTGAACATGAGCTAAATAAGGCAGCGTCCTCTAGCTGGGGAGCTGGTGACCCCTGACTGGCCACTCCTGCCACCTCCTCCCTGTCCTGCGTGCTGCTGGCCCTGCTATGCCCACCCCTGGGAGGTCCCCTCTCCCTGATTTCCACAATGTGTGCCCCAGAGAACGGTCACCCTGAACACGCCTGGTTCTCTCGCAGAGGGGAAAGCCTGGCCGATCCTGAGGGTGGCAGCCCCTGCAGGACCTGCTGAAGATGGGGAGCCAGCTTAGCCTCCTTCACAAAGACAGGTTTAACCGTGACCCCTGTGACGCGGGAATGGCGCACGGGGTGACTGGACACGGGAGGTTTCAGGGCCGGGAAACTGTGCACTGCCGTGATTTGGGGGTCTTCCGTGCATTTCCCCCACTGAACTGCAGTGCTAACCTGCAGACCGCAGTAGATGTTGTTTTCATTTGCTCTACAGGTCCCTGTCCTCATTTGTTTAACTGAATCTCTACTATGGGACTCTGATTCTTTCCAGTGTCAGAGATACAGAACTGGAGTCAGAAGCAACCTCAGGTGACAACGGAGGCCACCTCCAGTCAGCCCAGCCCCACGAGGGGACAAGCGACCCCCCCGCCCTGGTAGGGGTCCCTCAGAGGCGTGAGGCTCAGGTATGGCTGCATCTCTATGGGCCTGAATAATGCCGATAGAGCATTGAGTGAGATGCGGCACAGATTTCCCAGGTGTGGCTCTTGCTGCATTCCTGCCCCAACTCAGCCTCAAAGCCTGTGCGTGACAGGGAGGGGGGCAGCGGTGTGAGGTCACAGCCTGGAGGCCTGACTCTGCCCAGGGCAGTTCCACCAGTGGCTGGCCACGGACTCTTAGAGTTACTAACACCATCCACTTCCTTCTACCTCACCGGGAGGGACAAGGCGATTTGTCCGGGTGTGCCACAAAACATGGCTGAGGTTTGGGGGATCTGTGTGTGGGGATACGGGGGTGGGGAGGGCAGGGAGTGCTTGATCCTTTCCTGCAATGCACCAGGCAGTAAATGATCCAAAGGCTCCAGTTCTCGGCTCTGCCTTTACAGTGAAAGTCACGGAAGTGTGATGGAATGGGCGTGGCTGTGTGCCAATAAAACTTTATTTGCAAGAACAGCCTGGAGAGTCAGGAAGTAGATTAGGTTAGCAGGGGCCATGGGGTGATAAAAAAAATGCCAGAAACAGTGGTGAAGGTTGTAAAGGAATAGGAAGGAACCAGTGCTAGGGAACTGGACCCTTGAAAGGATCAATTTCACAGATCATGGATTTGATTAAGAAGTAACAGTAAAAGGCAGTGCAGAGGCGTCCCAGAGGCTTGCCAGCTCCATCGGGCAGCAGAGACCCGGCCTCTGCCTCTGGGCAGCAGCCAGGGCCACTCACACTCGACATATTGATTTCTTTTGACAATAACTGTAGGATTTAATACAAGAATTCCTCCTGCTCCTCCGCTCAGTCATTTTTTGCCTGCTCCAATCTTCCAGATCCTGGACACTGTCATGCATTATGTCCTCTGTCCGCCCAACTCGGCCTTATCTGCAGATGACCTCCAGTATCTTTATCCCTGGGGGAGACTTGGTGGCGGGCCACCCTGAGCTACCAAGGGGTCATTCGTCAATGTTCTCTGGTGTGACCAATTTGTCACGCCAGGGAATGCCAGACGTCACCTACAGGATGGCTCGCGTCTGTCACAGGACGTCACAGCAGCGCTGTCTGGGAGCGACACCCCTTTATGGACTCTTCCATCCACACTGAAAGTGAAATGGGCTGGATGCCAGGGCCGTGCCTGTAATCCTAGTGACCCAGGAGGCTAAGATCTGAGGACCACAGTTCAGCGCCAACCCAAACAGGAAGGTTTAAGAATCTCTTATCTCCAATTAACCATCAAAAGGCTAGAAATGGAGCTGTGGCTCAACGGGTAGAGCACCAGCCTTGAGTGCAAAGCTAAGGGACAGTGCCCAGGGCTTGAGTCCAGGCCCCAGTACCTACACTCACACTCAAAAAAAAAAGTGAACGGAGGCCCAGTTAGGCGCTACTTATTTAGAGCAAACCACACAGGCCTTCTGGCTCTGATGTCTCTTCTAAGTGGAAAGAAGCAGTCTGGTGGCTCAGATGAAGCCTTTGGCCTGCGTTAGACATTCTTGACTTCATCCTAAAATAGCCCACGTCCAGCAACCTCAGAATGTGGCGGGTGGGGAGCGGGGAGGTAGTCAATCGTTCTAAGACCAGCTACTGACATAAAAAGCAAAACCAGAGATGAGCAACTACAGCTCACAAGGTCTCAAATCAATTCACTTATTAATGTTTAAAGAGCAGCTCTGCCAACAGAACACAGGGCACAGGTGACAGTGCGTCTGGCACAGGTGCCCCGAGCTCTTGGAACAGCGCTACTCCTCTTTCCGGATATCCAACCCCCCTCCCCCCGTCCCCCAGCCCCCGTCCCCAAACCCCAACTGTCTAGAGCATAACCTGTCTGAAAATTCATCCCTCTCCTCTCTCCTTCTGAGAGACCCCACAACGCTGGCAGAGTCTGACGGGCTCTCCCTTAATGTCCTCCTTGTAGCCCAATGGTGCGGAGCTAAGGCCCAGCAGATGTGCTCAGCTATGCACCCACAGCGGTACTGAGGGGCGGTGCGGTTAACAGCGTGGAAGGACACCAACCCACTCAAGACTCTCTGGGGGAACCGCAGCTGCTGCACCGAAACGCCAACACGGGCAAGCGCTGATGTTTTACGCTCACACAGGCGCGCTGAAGGGCGAGCTGGGGCTGGGGGAGCTGTGGCACAGGTGTCACCCGCCCGAGGCCCCCGGGCTTCCAGGAGTGGAAGGGATTACCGAGACTCAGCACCAGTGCGGGGATGGCACCAGGGATGGCATCTTCCTTGGCCCGTGTGGCCTGCTGGGCCGGGGCAGGGCACCCTCCACAAACAGAAAGAGGGCGGCTCCCACGAGCCACTCTAGTCCAGCGCCAGGGCTGAGCCCCGGCTGGACGCTAGGTCCAGGGAGCCCCGTCTTACCTCGTCGGTGATCTGGCCTCCAAAGGTTACCCATGTTCCTGGAAGGAAGCACAGAGATTCAAGTCAGGCAGTCTACCGGGACCGTATCTGTCCTGTGGGTGCAGCCGCAGGCCACAGGGGGCCACGTTACTCTGCAGTTCTGTATGGGGACAGCTGACGCTCAGGACAAGTCTCCAGACTAAGGAGGCAGGAGTCCTTAGGGCAGCTAGCCGGCCGCAAGCCCTGGAGGGCACTGTGGACCAGGCTCTGATTCCAGGGACCCCTTGAAGCCACGGGCAAAAGGGTTCCACGCAAGGTCCTTGCTGTTGCTGGGGGGGGAGGTGTTGAGGCCAGAGGGGCCTATCATGTACTCCATAAAAGTGTTAGACAGGGGATTCTTCAGACAGAGCTCACATCTGGAGAGAGAGATAAAGGGCAAAATCAGAGGCCTTTCCTGGGGGAGTCTCTGAGAAGCTGACCCCAGTGAGAAGTCTTCCCAGCATGCCGAGGGCTGGGAAAAGCTGGGACTTTCTTCTGGGGGCAGCGGGGCTCCCCGGTCTCCTCTGCCCATCTGCCAAGGCTGCAGCCCTGTCTGCTCCTCCTCCCCGGCTGCCTCCTGGTTCTCACAGCAACCCGGCCCCCCGAATCCCAGGCTCTGGCCTTCCCTCCTTCACCCATACTCACCAAGCCCCAGGCAGGAGACCCGCAGGCCGGACTTGCCCAGATTCCTGAAAAACAAACAAACAAACAAACCCAACAACCTCATTTGAGTCTTCCACATTGGGACAAGATGCCGCCAGCCAGGCTCTGCTGTGATGCCTCTCTGGTCTGTTCCCCCACCAGCCCCTCGGAGCCAGGGCTCTGCTCCCTGCCCTGGGGTGACACCCATCTCCTGGGCCCTCACTGGGCGTGCCGCGGTGACGCAGCGCTGACTCGAGGGCACATGCCGAGGGATGCCATCTTGTATGGGCTGCAGCAGGGCTGGCGTAGGCCTGTGGTGTGTCCACAGGGTCCCGGGCTGAGTTCTCCTCTCTCAGCTTGACCAGAGGTCACACTTGGGACTTGGTGGGTCACTACTCCCCTCTGGAGAGCCACAGGGCTGGGCTGTGTCCCTGTGACCTTGAGGCTGGCAGTTTGGAGGACAGTTCAGTTCTCTAGAGAAGTAGCCCCCAGAGCTGCCCGGCGACATCGAAGGCCCGGGAGGTGTCCATGGTGGGGTGCACTCCAGAGCCCACGCACGTGGGCCTCGAGCCATCACCGGCATCCTTAGGAGGCTGTGGGGCCTAGAGCGTCTGGAGCCAGGCCCCTCTGTCAGCTGGGTTTGGCAGGCCTCCTGCTTGAGGTCCTCATGGTAGAGACACTGGATGGCATGCAGAGCCAGAGCAGGGAGTGAGGAGCGGGCAGCTGCCCCTGGGCGCAGGCCCATGGAGGTGCTGTGTGCCCAGTCCTATTTATGGGTGAAACGGGTGTGTCCCGCCCCAGATGGTGAAGCTGGCAAGTGGCAGCCCCCGCGAGCGGGGCCAGACCCACTTCCCTAGAGAGGCGGGACTGACTTCCTGGGATCTACACGGTGCTGCTCACCTCCGTGATGCACCGAGAGCCAGCAGGCCTTCCTCGGGACCCGGCACCCCCAGGCACCCCTTCTTCTCCCTTTTGTGGAGTCTTTTGTCTCATCCTCAGATTACTCCACGCGAGTCTGGCCCCCCTGGAAGGTGGCAGGGAGCACCTGTTTCATGACCACTCTGACTGTCCCCAGAGTGGCAGATTTCCCTGGCCGCCAGACCCCTGCGGGGGCCTGCTGGATCAAAAGCGCTCGTGATATGGGTGTGTGCAGAGTCTCGCTAAACAGCTTGAGAACAACCACACTGTGTCACCCAATTGAAGGTTGTTTTAAATGGCCAGGTTTTCTTTCAAAATTTCCTGTCAAAATCATGCAGCTGCTAGCTGATTCCTCCCCCAGGAGGATTTTTTTCTTTTTCTCTAAATGAGAACTTAAAAGCCGCAGATTTCTCTTGCAGGAGAGCACTGGGCAGCTTTCCCACTGCTGGGGCCTGGGTCACAGGACTGGGAGACACACGCCTCTCTTCTCCAAGCTGCAGGAACCCAGCGAGACAGCACTGCACATGGGAAAAAGGCACCCAGAGAGATGGCACAGGATGTGGGGGAAAGTCCTTTTCCTTGTACAAAACAGACAGGGGACAAAACAGGGCTTTAATACTACTGTGTTAAAAAGGGAGATAAGGCTTCTGAGCTTTATTTCCCCTTTTCAGCCAGTGACGATCTCACAGCGCCCCAAGTCTTGCATGTATATGTCAACCATGCCACATGTGTGCAGGGCAGATGGACAAAAGGCCTGACGTTATCCTATGTAAGTTCTGTGGGTGCAGGGTCTACTGAGTAGAAAGGGAGACTTCTTCCTTTCTGGGTAGAAAGTAACTGGATGGACACAGTGCCTTATGCCTGCAATCTTAGCTATGTAGCTAAGACAGTAAAGTCTGTGAGACTCTTATCTCCCATAAGAAGCTAACCCAGGCAGGAAAATCTGTATGCCTCTCATCTCCAATTAACCATCAGAAAGCCAGAAGAGGTATAGATCAAGTGAGAGAGGACATGCCTTGAGCAGAAAAAAAAAGCTAAGGGACAGTGCCCAGACCCTGAGTTCAAGCCCCAGTACCAGCAAGCAAAGCAGGACGAGTAACTGTGGAGGGACACGATCAGGTTTCTCAGAAGAGATAGGAAACCCAGGGAGGCCTGGTCGGGAGCAGCACACCCCTCCGAAGATGCTAGGCCTTCTTCCAGAAAGTACTCACGGATGCCAATCCCGCCATGGCCCTGTTTGTCATGTCAGGGTGTTTGCAGAGCCCTGGACCCCACTGGGCTTGATCTAGATAAATAGATAAATCCAGGCATCTGGGAGGGAGGGTGGGCCTCTGCCTTTGTAAATTCCTGCCTGAGTGGACACAGGCAGCAATTTCTCCACTGCGATTTCCCTTGGTCAAAAAGCTTTAGGTGTATTTTCCTGAGAAATTGCCTTTTATCAGTAAAGTGCTGGGGCGAGGACTCAAACCCAGGCCCTCAGATGTTTATGGGGAGGCAGGTGAGGGCATGAGAGGAGAGGCTGAGGAGCAAGGACACCTGTTGCCCTCCAGCTGGGGAGGAGAGCAAGACTTGTCCTGCTCTTGAGTCCCATCGTCTGAGTCTGGCTGGCATGAGGCGAACCTGCTTCCCCAAAAGGCTCTGAGCTGTTTCTGGTGCTGCACAGGGACCCGGGGCGTGCGGCTCCTCTGTGGCTTCTCCACCCACCACCCACAGGAATACTTGAACAAAACTAGGACACTGCATGACGCTGGGACTACCCTGCCCCACTTGTTTCCCGGCTAAAATGATGGTATTAGTTCTGCCATCTGCTTCCAGGCCTCCGGAGAAGGAATGAGAAGGGACAGGGTCCCTCCAGGCTGAGAGCTTTCTATATAAGAACGACTGTGCGGTGTCGGGGGGGGGGGATGGAGCGCCACAGAACAGAGCAGATGGCACCTGCCGCTACTGGAACCCAAAAACCGCCATCTAAGGATCTTTCTTTTCTTCTGCAATTAACCTTCCAGTACTGGACCTTGAACTCAGGGCCTGGGCACCGTCCCTTAGCTTTTTCACTCAAGGCTGGCATTCTACCACTTGATCTACACCTCTTCTGGCTTTCTGAGGGCTAACTGGAGATGAGAATCAGACAAATTTTCCTGCGTGGGTTGGCTTTGAGTAGGGACAATGACAGACACGAGCCACCTCACTTCCTCTAAAGATTTTTTCTCCTAATGAAAATGACATCATGTTAACATAGTTGGTCAAAATCTCCAAACCCCAATATTGTTGATCTTTGTGGAAAAATGACTAATAAGGACTCCTAACTGGAGTGCCTGTCAGGTAGCCACCGATTGCCCAGCGCCGCTCGACATGGCACTCCGGGACTTTGTGAAGGATTAGAACCGGAAGATGCCAGGAAGTTACGGATTCTCTTAAAATGGAGTACAGGGCATTTCATTTTAGCCGTTTGGCTGGAGGACGAAAACCGGACGAGGCACGGGAGGGCAACCCTGTCTGGATAAGGGGTTTAGACCTGAGGGAGACAGGTGGTTCCCCCTTAGTGCCTGGCTCAGCCGTCACCCTAACAAGCCCCGCTGTGATGGTTAATCTCGGTTGTCAGCTTGATGGGACTGACAGTTGCCTGGCTGATTAATGAGGCGCACCTCCGGGTGTGTCTGTGCTGGAGTTTGCAGAGACGCTCTGATCTAATCAGTGGTTTAATTCCTTGATGGACTCATGATCTGAGGCACTGCTGAGAGGTGGTGAGAGGCAGGCGGTGGGGTCTGTTAGAGGAAGCTGGTCACTGGGGGCTATGCCCTGACCTGGCCACTTCCTGTCTCCACTCTCTGCTTCCTGTCCTCTGGGAGAGAGCTGCTCTGCTCTACCATACCTTCCTCACCAGAGTGACTGAACCCTCTGAACCCCCGAATCTGTTCAACAGTCTGCCTCATTCCTAAACTCCAGGCTTCTGTGTCCCCACCACAGGCTGGGACCTGTCTGCTCTCTTACTGGAGAGACGGGCTCTTGTGGCTAGAAGTGCTCCAGGTGGACCCGAACCCAGGTCCCCAGGCTGCCCACTCTTCACTGCCCCATCTTGCTCTCTCTGCACACACATGAGCATCTACGTGTGCACATACAGAGATCGCCTTCCAGCGAGTCTTGAGAGGGAATTCCTTCACAGTGATTTCTCTGTGCAGAAACAGGCTCACTATTAACTCTTCGACTGAGTGATTCTTGGATTGACTTAAAAGTTACGGGAGGTGACTGTAAGTATCCAAACTAATATAGGTCGCACGCACATATTCACTCCCAGCTTTTGATCCCCACCCAACCAAAGATAGTAACTCCAGAGCTTTTAGAGCATGGAATTCTATTCTGGGTCCTCCTCACCAAACAGAGGCTGGGGACAAAAGTCCTTTACACCCTGGAGGCCCAAGAGCATCCAAGGTCCACAGGGCCGGGGTGGAGGGGTGGGGGAGGGGACAGGGCCAGTCCACGCCAGGACCCCTCCCCAGGGGTGTCCTTGGCCCGGTGCCTCCTGGTGTTGGCTCTGGGAGGTCTCAGTTACGGGGAGGTACTCTCCATACTTATGAGTTGGCATCAATGCTGGGTCCGGATCCAGGCTGCTCTCCTCCGCCTTCCTAGAGCTATCTGTGCTGGGATGGCGTCAGGTCACCAAGAGGCACCCCAGCCCCTGGCTCCTGCTTTGAAAGCACAGCTCCTAACTGGCCGGTCCAGCCGGCTCAGGCCCCGGAGAGGAGCTCTTCCCCCAGGGGCACTGTGCTCAGGAGCAAAGGGCCCTGGGGTCTTAAATGGCCAGACCACAGCAGGGTGCCCAGAGCCGCCCCAGGGCCCTTCCTCCCCTTCCACCCCAGGGCATAGGAGCGAGGCTGCGGGTGGGGACCAGGGACGCAGGGAACAGGAGGGAGGTCTTGTCCCAGACACTCAGATCTTCCCCACGTAAGACTCACAGAACCCAGAGTGAGGTAGAATATGGAGCCCCTGTGGAGGGGAACAACACAGCCTGGGCTGAGCGTGGTGGGAAAATGGACTGCCCTGTGCCTGCCTGAGCCAGGGTCCCTGCTGGACGAAGCCAGGCCTGGCTCCAGAAAGTTCATTCTACCACAGGCCTCACCTGATAGCCTCAACC